ACAAAAATTCAAACAAACTGAAGAAAATGGAAGAACATTGATGTCAAACGAATATGCATCCTCATTCATCCTGTTTGTTTTTTTGTGTGAAATCTATGTCTTTTAGTCCCAAAACTACGTGTTGTGGTCTTTCTTTTATGTATTGTGTTATGACATTTTGTGAAAAAATCTGTACGTGGTGGAGAAAATTGTATATCATTTTCGGATTCAGCGTACAGGAATTACTGTAGAACATGTAAAAATATCAAGACAATAAAACCATCGCAGGCCTGTGTTATCTACCAATTCTTCAAACTTTCAGTTATGTACTTGATAATTAAAGAAATGTATACATTACAGTTATTAATGTATATTTTATGTTGATTGCAAAATGAAATGTATCATCTATTATACTACCACTTCTTTCATCAGTTAAGTTGTTGATAAATGTGAAAATATTAACATGACAGTAATTAATGCATATTTTATATTGATTGCAGAATCTTTGGGACATCAGGTCAAAACATTCATGATATTCAGAAATACAGTCATTTAGATGATCCAATGGAAATACTAGAGAAAACGCTAGACTGGGGACATGTTGCACCTACGTGTCCCGATACTCTGAGTAAGTTGGTTTGTTGTTGATTACCAATGGATAAGCTGAAAAAGGCTTACGAATAGAAGTTTGAACATCTATCTTTTAATGACATAATAAATCGGTCAGATATTTGTGAAAAGCATATAAAAATTAAGAATTTGTCGTACTAAATATTAAAGGAATTATAGATTAAAATTTGTTGGAAGTGTAATATAAAATGTTTGGTGCTTAGATATTTAAATAACTAGTCAAAGTCACAATAAAATTTATAACATTGTAGTTATTAACAAGTTTTGAAGGTCTCCACTGTTTGTTACATCATTCTCTTATTTAACAGAGACAAAATGTAAAGATTGGAGATAAAAGAAGTATTTCAAATAAAAAAAGATGCATAATAAATACTAAAAACATGGTAACACCAAAAAACATCTTTAATACAGACGTTTCGGAATTTCTTTAAATTCCATCATCAGGGTTAATATCTCAACAAAAATAAGTTCATAATATTAGAACAACAAAAAAATAACATCAGCATTGAGTGAGTTTTTGTATTCAATCAGAAGCTACGTATATTGCAAAGCTACACGTTACCTAGAAATACGTGCACATGGGAATTTCAGCAAGAAGTGGATGTACGCTAAATAATCCACCCGAGTCTTATATCCGAGACTAACGTGAGAATAACAATCACTCCATACTTCCAGAAAACTTTAAAATTCTCGACTCTGGAAACCACAGATTTCGAACTCTTTATTAAAGAAAGCCTCTCCATTTTCAGTGATCACCCAACACTAAGTAATAACATCAACTCCTCCCTGTTGTCTTTAATGTAATCAATTCTGAATTCTCAGTGTTTTTATTTGATATTTATTTTTATTTTAAAGACACAGTGTTTATACTTATATTTAAACTTTCTCTATTATAGTTTCTTTTAACCATGTTATTTATGAAACATGTATGCTGCACATTTTATCATACATTCCAGTACATTGCTACCGTTTAAATCAGTTTTTTTCCAAACTTCCGATTGAATATGAAAGCTTGCTCAGTGCTAATGTTTTTTGTAGTTTGAATATTACGAACTAATTTTTTTGTTTGAGATATTAATGCTGAAAATAAAATTTAAGGAAATTCTGAAACGTCCGTATTAAAGATGTTTTTTATTACCATGTTTTTAATATGTATTTTTCACCTGATGAATCAGTTCCAAAGATGCATAAAAAATACATAATTTGTTTGTTTTAGAACTTAAAATTGACAGCAGTACAAGTCAGTTGCCTTAACCATTAAGCTGTTAATGGGCTTTCTTGCTAAATAACAATCAAACTATTGTTTAGTCACAAAGATGTATATGTTATGGGTACATTGTAATAAGATTGGTAGTAATTAAAACATGCCATTTTTTTTTACTGGTTTAGAATGGGTTTTCAATGTGAAAACTATCTTTTAAACTCAACCTAGTCTTCTTGGATATGCCACTGCCTGGACCAGCATGGTCAGGTGGTTAAGGCGCTCGACTCGCAATCTGAGAGTCGCGGGTTCAAATCCCCATCACACCAAACATGCACGCCCTTTCAGCCATGGGGGCATTATAATGTGATGGTCAATTCCACTATTCATTGGTAAAAGAGTAGCCCAAAAGTTGGCGGTGGGTGGTGATGACTAGCTGCCTTCCCTCTAGTCTTACATTGCCAAATTAGGGACGGCTAGTGCAGATAGCGCTTGTGTAGCTTTGCACGAAATTCATAACAAATGAACAAACAAATATGCCCCTGCCAATTCAATGTCAAAACTCATCCATTCAGCTGGCTTACAATCTACAAAACCTTAGGAGATTTCCTGTTTGCATTGTGCATCAGTGTCTCACACACACATTATTATTATTAAATGTTATTATTCTCTGTCAGTTAAGATTTTATACACACTTAAATGAACATCTGTGAGAAAATTACATTGTATATAGTTTTCTCTTATTAGTGGAGATACGGGAACTAATGTACTACACAGCCGTATTTTGTTATTTCTCAGTTTGTATCTGCGACATGGGTGTATTGCTGTTAAGATTTGTATTGTAAAAGGTATTTTGCACCAGGTTCTCAAAAGAAATTCTCCTATTGGCTCAGCAGTAAGTTATAGGGATTATAATAACACAAGTGAAGAAGAAAACCCTTAAGTGACCTACATATATGTACAGAGTATATCTTCCATTAGCTTATTAATGTTTAATTTAGGGTTTTATGGCACGTGGCAGCTGAGGACATATGCATCCAAGCAGACTTAAGTAAAAACAGATGAAATGAAATAACTTATGAAAAGAGTAAAACCAAAACCAATGACAGTAAATTGTAAAGCTAAATGGCAAAAGAAAAAATGATTAAGATATAATCACATGTAAAAAAAGTTGAAAACAGGAACATTGTCACCATTATCCGTAACATGGATTGACATAAATGATACAGAACATAAATAAACATGGCTAAAACATCGCTACTGCATAAATCAAAGTGATGGCAAGATGGGCAACAGTACGGAGTCAAATTTCTCAAACACTGGCCAATTATTTCCTGTTTAAAAGATATTTGTGTTTAAAAAAATAATACCTAATGCAGAGCCTAATTATGAGCCCTGTGCAACCTAGACAGGACTATTACAATGAATACAAGTAAAGAAAACAACTTTTCAAAAAGGAATTAAATGTAGGGATGGCTAATATCAATTCTTCAAACACAATGCAAACAAGATAGTAGGGATGGTACAAATACCATCTCTACATAATAGCCCAGGCACACAGTGTAGTAGAATGTTAACAAAAATACGATACATAATTATGTAAGGATGATGAAAATACCATCCCTACTATCTTGTTTGCATTGTGTTTGAAGGATTGATATTAGCCATCCCTACATTTAATTCCTTTTTGAAAAGTTGTTTTCT